CACCTTTTAGCTTGTAGGTCCAGCACAAGGGAAGCCAGATCAAGAACACAGGGCAGGAACTTGGGGGCGGGAGCTGATGCAGAGGCCATGGAGGGGTGCTGCTTACTGTCCTGCTCCTCATGCTTGCTCAGCTTGTTTTCTTATAGGACCACTAGCCCAAGGATGGCACTGCCCACAGTGAGCTGGGCCCTCCCACATCAGTTACTGATCAAGAAAATGAACTATAGGTTTTTCCACAAGCCAGTCTGGTGGGGTCATTTTCTCATTTTCCCTTTTCCAAAACGATTTTAGTTTGTGTCAGGTTGACATCAAACTAGCCAGCACAAAGCCCCGACAGTTTCCACAATAGTCATTTTAACTGGGGCAAAATGAATTCTCATTGGAGGTCTTCATTTGCACCTCTCAGATGATAACTGATGTTGAGTATTTTCTTATTTACTAGTTGACTATGTGTATGTTTTCTTTTGAGAAATGCCTATTTAGGTACATTGTCCATTTTAAAATCATATCATTTCTGGGCTTATTCTTCATTAAATTGTTTGAGTCCCCGTGTGTTTTAGATTATCAGCCCTCACCAGATGTGTAGTCTGTAGATGTTTACTCCCATCCTGTATTTACCTCTTCATTCTGAGGATTGTTCCTTTTCCTTTGTGGACAAGCCTTTCAGTTTGGAATACTCCCGTTCTTGCATTTTTCGTCCGTGCCCTGTAGTTTCGGTGTCTTATCAAAAAAAACTCAGCATTGAGACAACACCAGAAAGTGTTCTATGCTCGGGTTTTCTAATCCCGGTCTCACAGTTTCATGTTTAATTATTTTGAGTTGGTCTTTGTCTACGATGAGTTGGTCTTTGTGGGCGATGGGGTTGTAGTTTCATTCTGCAGTTTCCTCTCGCCCTTTATCGAGGAAAGTTCTCCTCTCCTGTGTTCTTTGCATCTTTGTTGAAGATCGGTATGCTATAGGTGTGTGGGGTTTATCCCAGTGTCTCTAGTCTGTCCCCTGTCTACTGTTTTGATGACTGTTGTCTTAGTTATGGTTACTATGACCAAAGTAACTTGGGAAGGAAAAATTTATTTCACTCACAGTTCCGTATAACAGTTCATTGTCTGAAGCAGTGAGGGCAGGCACTCAATCAGGGCAGGAACCTGGAGGCAGGGGCTCACGCAGAGGCCATGGAGGGTGCTGCTCACTGGCTTGCTTCACACAGATTGTTCAGCCCGCTTTTCTATAGAACCCAGGACCACCAGCTCAGGGATGGCACCACCCACATTGAGCTGGGAGATCTCCTATCAATCACTGATGAAGGAAATGCCCTACAAGCTAGCCCACAGCCTGATTGTATGAGGGATTTTCTTAACTGAGGGTCCCTCTTAACTGATAATTCTAGCTTGTGTCGAGTTGACATAAAACTAGCTAGAACAACGGTAGCTCTGTAGTATATTTTGAAGTAGTTAGATATGATGATGTTACAGCTGTTTTCTGTTCACTGATGATGACTTTGCTGTCTGGCCTTTTCATTTAATTTTTGGTAGTTCCATATGAATTTTAGGATGTTCTGTGGGTATGTGACTGATATTTTCATATGGACTGTGTTGAATCTAAAGATTGCTTTGGGTAGTATGGACATTGAATAATACTTCTCTTTTCCATCTATAAGCAAGGGATGTCTTTCAGCCTTTATATGCCTTCTTCCATTTCTTTTGTAAACATTTTTATTATTTTCAGTGTAGAGAGCTTTCATCTCTTTAACATTTTTTTTAAAAATTTATTTTTGATAACTTATAAATGTCTTTGTTTTCTTGATTTCTTCTTCAGGTAACTTATTGGTGTGTAGAAAAGATACTGATTTTATTACATTGGTTTTGTATCCTGCCACTTTGCTGAATTTGTTATCAATATTAATTATTCTTTATTTATTGTTCTAGTAGGGGTGTGTGTCTATGCGTGAAGACAGCGATAATTTGATTTCTTCCTTTCTAACTCCAATGTGTGGTATTTCTTTGTCTTGCTAATTGCCCTGGCTGAGACTTTTATCCTATTGAACAGCAGTGGTAAAAGTACACATCTCTACCTTGTCCCGGACCTCAGTGGGAATGTGTTCACCTCTTTGACACTCCACATGATGCTGTCCACAAGCTTTTTAGGATGCTGCTCTCTGAAGCTCTTTCTCCTGAGGTGAACCTTTTAGTACCACATACTTGTGAACCAATGTTTCTTCATATTTCTTTTGAGAAAATACCACCACCACAGTCTGTCTCTAACACCGCACGTTTTATTTCATTAATTAATAGATTAATTCTTTTTTGTGGTGTTAGAGGTTGAGCCTAGGCCTCACACATACTAGGCAAATGTCCCGTCTCTGAACTACACCCCCAGCCCTTTTTAAGCCATTCTTTTGAGGCAGGCTTGCACTGTTACACAGGCTGACCTGGCATTCACTGTCTCCCAGCAGACCTCGTGTTCCCCCTGCCTCAGTCTCTGGACTGCCTGGGATTTCTTTCTTAGCAACAGTGACAGTGTTCGTGTATCTGTGCCACACTGTTCCCTGTGACAGTCTCATAGCTCTGCTATGTGAGACCTGGTATTAACATCACCACGGTGGTGATCCCGATGTTCTCACAGTCCCAGGGCACCAGCGAGCCTGGCTTCACAGTAGCCCTGGCTAGTGGACCGTGTTCCTAAAGCCTTTTGACATTGGGTATGCCTTTCACGTAACTCTGCAATGTGGTGTGGTATCTGTGGTAACTTTGATAATGGTGGTCATAACATAAGTGTGTGACATTTGGCCCATTTAGTCACAGGTACAACGTTGAATTCTGTAGTTATGTAATTCTGTAGTTCTTAAAAAATGTACATCTAAATAAAATGATAGGGCTAATAGGTTTTAGGAAAAGTCAAATGTTGTGCCAATCTAGTTACTTAAGGATGTTTTACTCATGGATGAGAGTTACGATTGTGTGTGTGTGTGTACATGTGTGTGACTTATTCCTGTGTATTTGCATGTGTCTGCAGGTGCATGTATGAATATATATGTGTACATAGAAACGTTGTTGGTTTGGTGTGTCTTCCTCCACCCCAGCTTTTGAGAGAGGGTCTCTCATTGAATCTGGAGCTCACAAATTCAGCTGTGCCCCCTGGTTGGCAAGCTCCAGGGATCTTTGTATCTCCGCATTCCCAGAACTGGGATTAAGTGTGTGTTCTGCCATGCTTAGCTCATTGTACATGGATCTGGGGGACCAAACTCTGTTCCTTGTACTTAGAAGGCTATCACTTTAATGACTGAGCCGTCTCCCAGTCTGGAGAGATATGGTTTTGGTAGAGACCAGCAGTGGTGGTCCAACAGAATAGGATTCTGTCATTGACCCTAGAGCTCACATGATTCTGATGGTGCTGGCAGTGTTCTGTAACCTTGAAGTCATGCTGGTGCCATGGAGGGAGGAACAGTCACATTTGTAGGTGGAGAAACTTTTCGGTTTTGAGAAGTGGGTCAAGTGTTACATAAAGTTATGTAACAACAAATGACAAAGCCGGGCCTAAGTTTGGGTTCTCTGCATAATGCAAACAAACTCCTTTCTCTACCACATTCTGAGGTTTATTCAGCCTAATTTAAAGGTGTCTGTGTCTTCTCGCTCTCCTAGGGCCTAGAGCAGGCACTGAATCATGACTATAGTCACAATGTCCATTCACCTACACATGTTTGTAAGTGACACTGACCTAAGTCACATAAAATGTGTTGCATTTGAACTTCTGGTAAGCAGTAAAGAAGGCTCTGTGCTAAACTGAAGTGCTCGGTAGTTTACTCACAACCCTGTAAATAGATTTATTAGACAATGCAGGTGTCCAGGTGAGTTTTATATCAACTTTGCACAGGCTAGAGATGCTTGGGAAAAGGGACTGTCCACTGAGAAAAATACCTCTGCCTCCATGAGACCGGCTTATAGGCAAGTCTGTAGGGCATTTTCTTAATTAGTGATTAATGAGTGAGGGCAGTACCATGCCTAGAATGGTGGTCCTGGGCTCTGTGAGAAGCCTGTAAACAGCACTGCCCTGTGGCTCTGCATAAACTCTTGACTCCAGGCTCTGGCCCTGTGTGAGTTCCCACTGGACTCCCTTAGTGATGGACTGCACTGTAGAATTGTCAGCTGAAGGAAACCCTTTCCTCTCCAGGCTGGGTGCTTTTTATCACAGTAATAGAAAACTGACTAAGACAGAGGGTTGGCATTACTGAAAATGTTGGTTGGTTGGATAGTGGCCAATTTTGGGGGATTGAGGGGGGCACACTTTTGATGCCACCACTCAGGAGGCAGAGGCAGGCGAATCTCTGACTTCAAGGCCAGCCTGGTCTACAAAGTTCCAGAACAGCCAATGCTACACAGAGAAACCCTGTCTCAAAAATATATATATTTAAGAACCTTTAGAAGTCTTGTACAGACACAGAAATATAATGTCTGGGTTGAGGCGGTAATCTTATTAAAAAAACGTAACATTAACATAAACATTTAAGATTTTCACATCTTACAGTGTGTAAGGTACATGTCAATAAAAGCTTTAAAAATATATATATCTAAAGAAAATGGCAATGATGAGAGGTTTTATAAAAGTCAAGTGTTCTGTCAATGTGGGATGTTTTCTATTAGATAAAAGTTTAGCTTTAGGGTTTTAATAAAAACACAATCACACCTAGAATTTAAACCATTTTTATATTGAAATTATTTATTACCCCCTCTGTGTGTGTGAGAGAGAGATGGATGAGAGAGAATAATGACGTGCATGCAGAAGTCAGAGGATAGCTGGTGGGAGCTGTACCCTGTGGGTCCCAGGGATTAACCCAGGGCACGAGGCAGCCTTAACCACTAAGCAATCTCACCAGCCCTGTCCCCTTGAATTTAAAGGTACAATGTGGTGTAAGAATGTGTATTGCTTCCCCATCCCCCTGACACCATTAGTACTTTTCTGTTGCTCTCAGTTCCCAGGGCTCATGAACTATTTTTTTCCCCTTTCAG